AACTTGATACAGCTACAAATCCATTTTGTCAGTTACTGAATAAATAATTTACCTGAATGTGTATATATTGTTGTAATATATTTGTAAAAAAACCAAGGTTTAACAAATAAAATACAAAGAAAAGTAAAATTTAGACTGCTTATCCTTTAAGACTGTTTAAATGAACTTAATAAGGGGTTCCAGTTTCAATGAAAGGTGCATCCCCGCTTCAAAGATCGTTATCAAATAATGCCTAGTTGTCACCCTTCATATAGGAGCCTCAACATAGTACACATGCCCATTTAGGCATAACACTGGTCTACGTGTGTAATATGTCTGAATGAATAGACTGTAATGCCGGTTTTCTCTAGCAGTGGTACGGCAAATGAAAATCTGTAGGTTCTGACTCTCGGTTCCAGAAGTACAAGAGGGCTGTTGAAGATGGCGGCTCCTTCCTTTAACTACATTGAAAGACATGAGCAGGGCTACTCTTTTAAAGTGGAAAAACCCTTTACTATAAAAAAGGTATTTACAAATACGCATGCAAAAGAGCAAAAGCCAAAACAACACCATTGTCCAACTAGAGGAGAACACTGAAGGGGTTTAGGTTAGGGTTGTTGTATGATAAATATGAGAAAACATTACACATACCAACCAACACAATCTGTTCCAGTCACACATCCTCCTAGCTCCTTCTGCCTGTGCAGTGTCAGATCATTTGCTTTATAAAGGGCAAATAAGTACATATAGTTTGAAGATATTTGTTATGGATACATTTCTACTTGCAAATTTTGGCACAGAAGCATGATCGATGTTTTCAGGATTTCATTTTTAAAGGCTCCCCTCCAGTGGCTACAGCTATATCAGTTAGTGCCATCAGCATCCTTACTGGAGGACAGCTGAGATTAAAATCAGAAAGGTACCAAGAAAGTCTATCATTTCCAGTGAATTAGTTTGAGTTAGTGCTAACTAAGCATGTCAGATAACAGATAGGTGGAATAGTATTTAATATTATAATGATAAAGAAATGTCAGTCTTATGCAATATAGATAATTTTAAAAAGACCATCTATAGTATATGGACAGGAAGATGGATAGATGTGTGAAAAAATTATCCCTTTAAGGATAGCAATGTTATCACATATTAAAGTGCATCTAAGCCTAACAAAATTTGATCTATTACATTTGACCAGTCCTTGGATGGGAAGGCTGCATTCGTTTTCATTTTCCAGATGTATCCCCTTTTACACCTGGTGATCCTGCCACGATCACAGTTTTTGTCATTTGTCATTTACAGAAGGAAGATTAATTGAGATTTCAGTTTAATTCACAGTTACAAGGACACTGGTATTCTGACGAGATCAGAAGGGAATTCTTGTACTTGCAGAAAATGTACTTAACCTGAAAAATGAAAACAAAAGAAGCCACCACATTCAAAACTGGTTGCCTGAAATATATTACATTTTGGCTTTTGGGTTCAAATAGCCTTTAATGCTGAAGTTTAGTTATTTTTGGGGGTATGCAGTACCAGGGGCATAACTTACCTCTAATAAGTCCTGCTTAGTGTAGAAATCTTCCCTACACAGCACTGATCCTCCAGTGCTGTGGGTGGTTAAGATCAGCAGCTGCTACTGTGAACCAGTGGCTCCACTTGCCCTCCTCTTCCTTCTCTTTCGTCCATACCCAGAACTCATAGAATTCTTTCCCGGAATTCAAAACGTTCTGTGAATGGAGAAGGCAGATCCGATCATTCATCTGCCCATCCTCCATTCGCAAAATAATTAGCATTCTGAGAAAGAAAATTATGAGTTCAGTGAATGGATGAGGAGGAAGGTGATGGTAAGATGCCCCATCTGCTGACCTTAACCCCTGCAGCACTGGAAGATCAGCACTGTGGGCAAAATTCAGCATTAATGGAGGGAGGATTTCTACACCGATTCAGAGCAGCCCCCAAAAAATGATCTAAACTTAAGCTTTAAACACCTAATCTTTCCCAGAACTCTAATGCGAACACCTTTCACTAAACACAAGCGTTTTATTATTTTATTTGTGCAGAATCAATAAATATCCATCAAGGAATTTTTTTTTTGGCTGGGTGCTATGAAGTTTATATACGGAAAAAAATAAAAAGCCCTTTTAAGATAAAGTTTTTTTTTCTCTCTCTGGATAAAATACAACACATGATAGAAATATTGCAAAAATCCCCCTATCATTGAGAATTCTTCTTACCACAGATCACAGAACAATACCAGTTAAATTGCACTTAGGTCTGTCGGTTTCAGTTTAGCAAGCTACACAGTGTTCAGAAGTGTGGCCCCAAGATTAAACTCCACTCAAGGACCTTTATATAAGCATTATTAAAGGAGATATCCATCCAAAACTAGCAACTAAATGTTAGGTGAAGGGTGATGGGTGATGGTAGGAGCTGTTGGCAAATTCAAATTTGTTTTGCAGCCTTGCTATGATGATTTAGCATAAATAGAGTAAAAATCACCAGGCCTAACAAAAAATGTCAAAACCTCAGTGGGAAGTAGTGGCTCTGGGATTTTACAGATAACTGACAGAAGGTGGGATAAAGCACCAGATAGGGGTGGGGCTTAATCTCAAGTTGGACAAAAGTCAAGCCCTTAGGCTGGCCATACACCTATTTTGTCAGTGGCCCCTGCATAATGCAAGCGTGCCTGCAACAGATTGAAAGTCAGTTTAGCCAATTCTTGATCAAAGGATGTCCCACAACAAGAGGCAGTCAGGACCACCCACTGATCGTATTCTGAGTTCCTGATGAACTGGCCAAAATTTGTTCAGTGTATAGCCAGCTTTATTGTACAGCCTAGGCATAAGATCCAAGGGCTCAACAGGGATCCATTTAAAGACCGCCACAGGTACTTGAAGGCACCACTAAAAGTCTTAAGTTCAGCACTGTTGTAACATTTTAGGCCACATCAGGTTCATCTGAAGTTGTCCTGGTAATTGTATCCCCTCCGTTTAAGTGTCAGAGGACTATATTTTGATGTTTATGTGGTCGGTACAAATTATATATACCAATAGAGAGAATGACTGGTGGAAGTACATTTAGGCACTGGATCCTCATAGTGGGAAATTGGCACATCTATATAACTGCAGCAACTAGACAACTATTATGCTAGATGGCGTTTTTCTAGTGGACATCAGCAGAAACATTTAAGTATTGAAGTTCTTTTTGATAATTGTATATCAATGTTATAACCTGCCAGGAAATGTCTGCACATCTCTGCAGGGAAGTGACTGTTCCTTTCTCTAAGGAGAAAAGATAAAGACCCTTTCACTGCATGTACACCACATTCACATACAGTCTGGGTCAGAGGGAAGATTGCTGCCGGTCCCAGCAGACCATCAATGTAACATAAACTTATCCCATCACCCTCCACCCTATACGCAATGTGCAGATTCAGATGGAAGGACTCCTTCATATCCTATAGATCCGTTACATTTCCATCCTTACATAGATTTTCTCTATCCATACTTGGGATCAACCATACCTGTTGTAAAGGTAATTGGATTTCACAATTGTCAGTAACAATATTCATGTAATAATAGGGTAAATCACATATCCAGTATAGTACAATTCAGGTACTGTATATAAACATATAGTACAAATGCCATTTAAACATACACTTGTAGCGCTGAGGGGTCTGTGGTCCATACAGAAAAGACAAAAAAAGTGAATGTTTTCTGCTATTAGTCATATACACACAGATAAGATCGTCAGCTTGTTTTTTTCCTGGCTCAGCGTGTGGATTAACTTTCTCAGAAAGAAAAATGTGATTATTTACATAGCACCAACACTGGATCAGGTTTAAAAAGAAACCTGTTAGAATAGAAGAAGCAGAGTTGTTAAGGTGGATGCTCCAGGCTCTTCTGTATCCTCACTTCATTACTTAGTCATTGACCTGGAACAGGCATATGCATATTAAGTGGCACCTTCACATGCGTGTTCCAGGGCAGTGATTAAGCCAGTGTTGAAAGAAGAATGGCAGCCTTGGAACATTCAGTTCAAAAACAGGTCAGCAATGGCAACATCTTTATTTCTATACTGACAGGTTACTTCTAAAGAGGTAACTGACCACTGTCGTTGGAATGGATGCCTTACCATAATCAAGCAGCCTAAAGCTGTCTATACATGAACTGGTTATTCCTTATCTGGCCTTTAAATGGTCAAAAGAACACCAATGCCAATACATATCCATGTAGTGTCAAGCAAGCATATTTATTTTGTTATGGTCAGCCAATGCCTGCTTCTTTAGACCCACATACAGTATATGTATGATCTGAAAGTGTAGAACAAATGTTACATATTGGGTGCAAGGGTGTAAAAATCCAATGCTTGATGTTAAGTTTGAGAAAGCAGGCATCACACCCTTGGATAACTGTAGGTGAACTTGTACATGAGCCTACTGACTGATACATTTGTTTTAGCGCTCAATATTATAGGATCCTGGTCAAAGTGAAACTCAGGAACACAGGGGCGAATCACAGCATTGCTGGCCACTAAACTTTAATGATCCCACAAGCTGTGGCAGAGCAAATAACACTTTTTAAAATGCTCTATAATATATTCCAAACATGATACAGAAAGATAGTACGTTTAAAAAAGTTCAAAGGCTCAAAAATTCTGGACGACAGATTCAGCTTCATGACATGAAGACCTGACGTACCTAAAAGCAGAACTATCTGTGTTGTCATAACACGACGCTGATAGGTCATGAGGCCTGCTCTGATCTGGGCAGTACACTAGTCTAATGGTCCCAAGCAGAAGAATATGAATGCGAAATGACATGAATATCACTCACTGTAAGACATTGTGTGAAATATTGTTTTTTTATCAACGAGACAAACAAATCTGAAAATAAGTCATCTGGCTCAATGTGTTTTCTACACTTGACATGCTAACAGAACACTGTTGTAAAAATTGATTTATTGATGTCTGCGTTTTGTGTCCTGCACAATATTTTTAACAATAAAAAGGTATTTAAAAAATCATTTCTTAATCCAGCATATGTAACTGGATTAAGAACATGTAACAAATGACGTAACAGAATATGAAACCTCTTATTACAGGTAAGAGTCCTGTCCATCTACACCACATATCCTCCGCTGTTGCAGCAAATGGGAAGCACTAGAGAGCAGAGGTAGAGCACAATGCATACCCAGCAGGAAGCCATCTTAACCCAGAAGGGAGACCAGCTGCCGGTAAAGAGCTTTTCTATATCGGCGTGGTTGTAACTATGGGAAAAAACAAACATACAGTAAGTAATTATGTGCAGGTTATATTCATGAAAAACAGTGTGACGCTTCACCAAGTGACGAGGAAGCATGGAGCCAGCTTTCTGGCCAATCAGGAAGGCAGGTAATGACTCGTTGCCCAGCTTCCTGATTGGCCAGCTTCCTGGAGCAAGTCATTACCCGCCCCCCCTGGCTTCCTGATTGGCCGAGGAGCCAGCTCCATGCTCCCTGGTGACGAGGGAGCATGGAGCTGGGTTCCTGGCCAATCAGGAAGCTGGGCGGCTTGTAATAATATTACAAGGTATCGAGAGCAAATACTCAGTATTGGCTCAGATACTATTATCTAGTACCGATGCATTCCTAGTTCCAAGTCAGTTATTCGCATCAGCGTATCATCCAGTCAACAAGCATTTTGAGCAGGAGGGGACAGCAATGGCAGCTTTCAAATTTGTCTCATGGCAGGTATACTTGAACTGACAAACTTACTAATTATTTGAAATCCACAAAGCGCCCTCCCCGCCCCATAAATTAGCCTAAACTGACTATACCATACTGCAGCAGCAAAATTCCATTTAAGTCTATGAGACCTTAGCCCAAAGCCTATAATCATTACACATGGCTATTGAGATCTCCTGCAATGGTGGTTCAAGATCTTAATTTTTTTTCTTCATATTTTACAGTTTAAATATACATGCTACCTGCATCAATAATCCTGGCAATAATAAGCATTCATTATACCTCTATGTGATATAAATATATTATAGAGATCGACAAAATGATTGAATTACATACAAATATTTTATACACATTTTCCTGATCTTTAGGTCGCCATAGACATGATCTGGCCTGACTGGAAGATCTCGGGTCTTAGGTGGCAACAGACATCCTCCAATTGACCACATGTGTTTGAAGGCCTTGTCTACATGCCAAGTCTACATTCATCCCAAGAGGCACTGGGAGCTGTCTGCCCACGTGTCCCTCTCCATCCAATTTCAGTAAATATGTAAATTCAGGTGAGGCATGTTTCTGGAACTCGTGGCTCATAGACATGCCTCTTGGTGGACTGCATCCATCCTTGAATGTCTAAGGCTATTCTTTAGGCTGGCCACTCACATGGCAATTTTATTGAGACATCTAACATTCAGTTTATTTTCTATTGACATTATTAAGCTATGGATGTCATGAAATTGTGGTTTTCATCAACTGCAAGGAGAAGGCTCAGTCCCATTAGACATAATGTAGCCATGGCATATTTTCAGCTCATCGCAGGTTCCAAAATTGCATCTAGATGAAATGCATCATGAACCTGAGCAAATAACATGGGGACTATGATGAAAGGGGACTACCTTTAGTGGAAGCCACATGTAATGATTTGTAAATCCAAAGATCTGCAGACATGAAAAGCTTGAATTCAGCTGTAAAAGTTGAGTTCCCCTTCAGCCTCCTGATTATCTGTATTGGTCCTTTAATGTGATGGGCATCCTCACTGACAATTAGGGAGGCATAAGGGCATGTGACCAAGCTTAGCTTTTCCAGGAGAAGTTGAAATTGGCATGCAAGTCCAGCTACCTACATCTCTGAATTGAATGATTGCTTCGACAATTTTCAATGAAGATATTTTTTTTCAACATATGATCAGCCTGAATTGCCTAAGATAGTAACAAGATAACACAGGGCGTGGGTGCAAAATGTAAATAGGAGCCTCAGTCTAATCCAAACTAAACAAAAAACAGTCCATATGCTGCCCTTGAGCTGTCAATTTATAATAACATGGTATCAATTTTGTTATTTTTTTTATATCAATAGAGGCATAAAAAGTAGATAAAAATGAGCAACAGCTGGCAAAAATGGACAGTGGAAGTTGGATATGAACCCCCAGATCTTATGGGCTGTGCTACAGTTGCACCCTCTGCACCACCTGTAGCTTTATACTAGATAACTATTTATTTTCCAGCTAAAAATTGCCACGTCATATTTGTTTGCAAGAAGGAGCTGCCTTTAGGTGTCTTATGAAGATGTAAATTGGAATTAATCAACAAGCTACCATAAACATCCATTAAAATAATAGCCAACTATAAATTATAATAACAAAAAAAAGTTTTTCCAACACTCACTGAAACCAGTTGGTGATTGTCATCATCATGTAGAATGTGCCCAGGAAAAAGATGAAGTGGAAGCCAGCATAACTATACAAAGTCTTCTCCTCTTCATCATAAGCCACTGATTGTCCTCCCCGATCTTCTACCCGACCATCCTGGTCACCTAGGAAAAAGTAGAAATATACGATTTAAACACGATCTGTAATATGTGAAGCAAGAGTACAGTGTTGTAAAGCAGGCTACAAACATGTGCAAACCACTTTGACATTTTAATATTACAAATATTCATACATATGATAACACCTTTCTTCAGTTATTAATGTTCTAGTACTGCAGCCCTAGATCAACACCCCTTGTGTTGGCAGCTCACTAGGGATTTGGAACGCAGTGGTTCAACCAGTCCTCTGTGCAATGCTTCCATCAGCAACGCTTCTCAGAGAGCTTGAGCATTGCTGATTGGAGCACTGCGCTGGGAAGCGCACCAGTGAAGACTCAGACTGCTGTGCCTTGTGTGATAGTAGAGGTCCAGATGTAAAATTATTATAATTAGATAAAATTTGCACTATATACTAACAGGGGGGGGGGGGGGCGGGGTTTGGAATTTTTTTTTTTTTCATAGGGGACTGTAAAA